CACCCATATGGCCATGACCTCCACAAACAAGTATGGTAGTGGCTGACTGTTTCCAAATACTAAATGATGCAAAAGGGGTACGGAAATTAACTCCGGCCTTCTTCGATCTTAAAACAAGCCAAAATTCAGTAAGAATGGATGAAACAAGTGGCTGTAAATATAACCACGAGGAAGAAGAAGCTCTTTTATTCTTTCATAAAAGTTCAAATCCAAAAGCATACGCCTCTATTTGGGACCTCCAAGTCTCATTTGTACAAGCCATTCTAGGAAAATAGACAAACAAAAAAAAAAAAATTCCTTTCCAACTAATACATCCCTCTCCAACACAATTTTTAGTCCTACTGACTACCTCTCCACACCTCTCTCTCTCCAAGCACTTCCTCTCTAGTAAATCCCATCAAAATAGGAGATCCCATCAAAATAGGACCTTCTCTCCCAAGTTACATACTACTCTCCAACTTAAATTTTGAACTCTAAACTAATCACCCTTATCTTTCTCTAAACCATTTTTCTCTCTTAGATCCACTATTGTAGGAGGCTTTTCTTAGACCCACGCATTTCCCATCCCAATCCTATCTAATTCAACTGCTTTCTAGGAGTCCTCTATCTCCAAAGTAAGAAAGAGATCCAAGTATACCATAAACAATGACACCGCTTTTTGGTAGCCTCCAACAAATCCTAAACAAATAAGAAATCATGGCACTCCTAGTGAAATTCAACATTTAACTTCCGATCTCTCACACTAGATCTAATATTTAACCCATTAGAATAATGAAATAAACACGGCTCGCATTAGCCCATCTCTTGATTCGCATCACTCTTCTAAACAAATCATCCACATTTTGAGGACCTAGAGAAACAGTTAATGAGGGAAACGATTTAATCCATCTTAACAAAAAAAAAAATGAAAAATAAGAAAAAGTGAACATGAGAAATGAGCATACTTACTCAATGATAAGGTAGAACACATTGGTTGCCAACCCTAAGAAGGCACCCCAGATGAAAAGTTGGCAGAAATGGTTCTTTTACAGCAAGTGAAGTAATATTTAAACAATACTTTAAAAAAAGTATTGTTCTTGAAGTTGATCCAATTGCTCTAAATGTCTAACTTAAAAATGGCTATAGGAGAAAAAGGTGGAATCAAACCTAAAGGGGCAAATTTTTCAAAATTACATCAAGTTATCAGCTTTCCTTCAGGAATTAGGTTTAAATTATGTGATTGAGATAGTAATGAAGAAGGCAGCTGTCCTAAGAGATGCCCCATTTTATTTCATACAGCCACAAATTCACAAAATTACCATAAATCATTTACATCACCAGGAATTATCCAAACAGTATGTATTTCATTTTAGAGGAAGAAATAGAGGACGGATTCTGTTTCTACTTTTCAGATGTGCTTTTTTGTATAACTGTTGACAATTGTATTGATAAAAGGAAGAGAGGTACAAGGTTAGTTCCAAGGTAGCCTCAAAGCCAAGGCACCTGGTAAAAAAGATACTTTTCAGATGTGCTTGAAACATTTACGGAAGCAATCTAAACAGACTCATATTCTTTTATTATAAGTTCTGCCCAAATCACTTCATGTTTCAGCATGAGGGTGGTTTTATGAAGCAGGACAAAAGAGGCTCATTGGCATGCTTGGAAGCAGTTTTCAGAGTACAAACGTACTAAGGCATAGCAGAGACACAATTGCATCATTATAAAGGGGCATTAATGGATAGATTGGTTTGTTCAACATATAGTTATTGGAATCTCTCCACCGACCTCGCATTTCTGGTTCCGAAACCCGATTCTATGTTTTCGTTAAGGAATCTCCACGGAAACCATTTTTCGGAACCAAGGAAACTCGATTCCTTGATTTTGGAATCTCGAGTTGACACATCTTTAGAAACCATTTTCGGAACCAAGGAAACTCGATTCCTTAATTTCAGAATCTCGATACAACATATCTTTAGAAACCATTTATCTGAACCAAGGAAATTCGATTCCTTAATTTTGAAATCTCAATCTAACACATCTTTGAAAACTTGAACCCATTAATTGTGGGTAGATGTTCCCAAATATATCGAATTTGGATTCTAGTGAGGATTAAATCTTTGATTCCATGTCAATTGGAGTAGAAATCTTCCTTCGAATGCTTCTAGTGGTTACAGGGTTTCATTATTTTACTTGTGCCATACTGGGTGGCCTTTACCTTAAATTTAAAATATAACTGATAAATACAACATATACAATTAGAAGTAAAACCATTTTGTCTTTATAATATTACCATCATTATTTTAGCCTTTTCCCAATTCATTGGGGTTGGCTACATGAATCATGTTTATTCATTCTGCTCTATTAAAGGCCTCAGTGAAGCCATAAGTCCCCATATCTTTCCATGTCTTTTTGGGCCTACCCCTTGCCCTTTTCAGTCCTTCCACTTGAACTAATTCGCACCTCCTAACATGTGTTGTACTTGGTCAGCACCACACCACACATTACCAGCCCACCTAAGTCTACTCTCTCATTTTATCGCCTATTGGTGCCACGCCTAAATTCTCTCGAATATCTCTTCTCCTAATACAAGTTTAATTAATAAGAGCCTATCACCTATTATTTTGACATTAACTACTTTATCTTTTAAATATTTATCTACTATTATGCGTACGCCATTTCTATTATTATCCTTTCCTGTATACCATAGTTTATACCCATTTTCTCCTTTCCATTTAGTTTCTTGTAGACAAGCTATGTTTACTCTCCTTCATCTCATTGTATCCACTAACTTCATACTCTTACCTATAAGCGTTCCTACATTCCATGTAGCTAAACGAATCCTATTCTCTTGGACTACCTTCTTTACCCGCGCTGGTGGTGTCACGACAACCCTTGCCTATTTTTCACCGCAACCGGACGGCGCTGAGGTTTGTCGCTTCTGGGGAACGCCCTAGCTACCCCTTGCTCATTTCTCACTATACTCAGGTTCCGGTACAATGCATCGCATCCAAGGAACGCCTTAGTATAAGTAGATACAATAAGTTTATTAGGATTCATGATGGGTTTTGGTAAAATTTTACGTTGGCTGCCTACTTAACACAACCATGCCCATTTATTCGGGTATGGGATGGGTTAAGGGAAAGTTTAAGGTCATCACCCTTCTTCGACCATTTGTCTTTATAATAATGAAGTCCAAATCACCATTTAGAAATACTTGTCTTTTGTATATAATGACCATAAATTCAATAGTCAACACAAACACTTTAAAATACGGGAAACCTTTTAATAAGAGACATCAATATAGGTTCTAAAGTTGAAGAAGCTAAAGATGTGTTTGTGGCTTCCTTCTCCATTAAAATGAAATATCGATTCCTGGTGGGGATCGTCAAACGCATTCCATAGTCCATATTATTGTAAATCTCGGTCTCAAACTGGCATGGATCTATGATCCATATACTTCAAAAACTTGATTCCAAATATGTTAGAATCACAATTCGAAACAGCAACATATCTCTATTTCACATATGTCAGAAACTCAATTTTGCATATTAATGAATCTTGACTCCAGGAGTGTCGATTCCAGACGGATGGGGATCCGATTCCAAGGAGGACAGAATCTCGATTCCATATGTAAATGAAACTTGGATCTATTTCGGTCAAAACATGATTCTCAAAAGCTAGGAATCTCGTTCCTAGTGATTCCTATTGTACGGACAACGATTCTTAAGACAGGAATCTTCTAACCGGCCACGATTCTAGGAATCTTGTTCCTAAAACGATTTGGGTTCCTAGGCGTTTCCAACAACTATGGTTCAACATCATCAAGTGATTGATCATTTAATAGGTTATATCCATGAACTAGAAAAGGAACGTGTGGTCGCATTCATTGCATGCGCTTATTGGATAGTACAAAGGGCCTTCCTCCCATAATGAGATCCTACCTGGATAAACCACCCTTACCCTCGAGCTTTGAGGTATGCCTTTGAAACTAACACTAAGCAGGACCTTAAGACCAGCATGTGTGACGTGTCCTCATGATGATGTCAAAGTTATATCAGAAGTTGTGGGTCCCCTAAGGGACGGTTTGTAGACAAGTCTGAATAATTCAAGGATCTCTCTTCTAGGATCATGTTTACACATAATTTTCCAAGTTACTAATAATGGAGTGTGATTGGCATGATATTATCAGATGACATGGATGGGTTTGTCGTATTCCATGAAGAATGAGTTTCATTGCAAAAAAATATCAATCTTTGAACATCAGTCCGAATGGTTATTCATATTGCCCATGTACATAGAAAGGAAAACTTAATTAAGGATCGATACCTTAGTAAATCCTACCAGGGTCGAGCATAATGATGTAGTAGTATTTGCATTACTTTCATTGAACCCACATGCTCAATTTTCTTCAGTAATAAGAGATTGGCATCAACAAAGAAAACTTCCCAATGACAGTTCACAGTGGTAATATAGTAATGCCCTTAAAAATGAGCACAAAACCATATCCCTATCATGTATATCACAAATTTTAATTATTTTGTTATAATCCATCTTATTTTGTTATAATCCATTTTAATCATTTTTGTCGACATACATTATAATAAAATCTCATGAAATCCTCTCTTGTTGTATTGTTTTGGTTTTCAATTTGCCACTTTCCAATATCCACCATCTATCCTCTTTTCATCTTTCCACTCACAATACCTGTTCAAGCAACTAATATCTACTCATATGGTGAATGTGAGAAACATAATTCTTAAAGAAGAGCAAAGCATAATTAGATGAAACACAACCTCTAGTAGGAAAAACCAACATAACTGGCTCCAGAATTTCAACCAAAATAAATGCAAGTAATCAAGCTTCCAGAAGTTTCTTGAAGGACTCAGCATAGATAAGCACAATACAAATGAATAACAAGGAGTTAAAAGATACACTTGTCTCCAAGAAAAACCAACCATGCTGATCCCAGTGGAACATCCAAATGAAAATAAAAGATGGAAAGAATAACCTTCAATTTTGACCTGATTCTTGCAATAAATGCCACAGGGGCAATGGCCAGGTGTGCATTCCGTGCTAGTCAGTACATTCAAACACCTCCCTTTGCATCCGCCCTCAGGATCATTAGCATCATATTCGCAATCGCAAACAGGGATATCCTCCACTTTCTGCTTTTTGTGCCTAGGCAAAAAATGAATATTATCCAAAGTGACAAATGTGATTAACATACCAAATATTCAGTATGCACTTGAAGGATGCAATAAACAACGATATTCTACATGTACCTATGTATGTGATGCACGCCCGTGCCTGGACAGATAGGAGAGAAGGATTAAAGTAAAGAAACAGTTCAGAAATGTACACATCCACTGCTGTAAGACAGCCTATGGATGAGCCACTCACATTTTACTTCAATGCCCCAGGCCTTTAAGATACACAGTATCTTGTGTTTGAAAACAATAACGTATTGGCACAGGTTTGCTACTACACCAATTGGTTACTGCCCAATTGAAAAAGAACAGATGAGTTACTGTACCATAGCAACTTGGTTGTGTTAAAAAGCTGTAAGTGATCCGAGGTAGCCAGGTTAAGGGTAACAGTTGTATATATGCTATGAATTAAAGTAAAATTGAACTTGTGTGGGTTTAGGTCCCACTGGATGATAAAAGAAACAGGTAAGACATGCTCCATCTTTCATTAAATCTTGTTTCCCTATCCAATTGTGAATACTATTGTTGTTGTCAACATCTTGCTTTATTTAGGGCTGCTTGAAATAAGTCATCACCATCGTCAAAGCCTTTTCCCAACTAACTGGGGTCGGAGACACGAGTCCTGGTCCGCCATTATGCTCTATTAAGGGTCATACCCTCAGTGAGACCATAAGATCCCATATCTTTTCTCACTACTTCCAACCATGTCCTTTTAGGCCTACCCCTTGCCCTTTTTAAGCCTTCCAGTTGAACTAACTCGCACCTCCTAATAGGTGTTGTATTGGGTCTGCACCATACATGGCCAGTCCACCTAAGTCTACTCTCTGTCATCTTATCGCCTATTGGCGCCACGCTTAAATTTTTTCGAATGTATTCATTTCAAATTCTATCTCTTCTTGTCCTACAACTCATCTATCTCAACATCATCATCTCTGTTACACTCATTCTACGGGTGTATTATTTTTTGATCGCCCAACATTCTACCCCATAAAGCAAAGCTGGTCTCATAGTTGTCCTATAGAACTTGCCCTTCAACTTCATTGGTATAAGGCAATCACATAAAATTTTAATTGCAGATCTCCACTTCGCCCACGCAGCTCTAATTCTATGCGCGACATCTTCCTCAATCTCTCCATTTTCCTAGATTATCGACCCAAGATATAGAAATTGTGCTCTTTTTGGTATTTCCTAGTCGTCAATCTTAACTACTTCCTCGTCTCTACTCCTATTATTACTAAACTTGCATTTCATATACTTCTGTCTTAGCCCAGCTAATTTTAAAACCTTTAGATTCTAGAGCATCCCTCCAAAGTTCTAACTTTGTGTTGACACCATTTCGAGTCTCATCGATCAAAACTATGTCATCTACAAACAACATGTAACACGGTACCTCATCTTGTAGTTGCCTAGTTAAGTCATCCATAACTAAGACAAAGAAGTATGGGCTCAATATTGACCCCTGAGGTAGACCTATTGTCATTGAAAACTCACCCTTCTCTCCGCTAATTGTTTGTACCCTAATTAGTACCCCATCGTACATATCTCTCACAAATAGTACGCATTCATAATTGGTAAATACCAGATGCTAAGAAACCAGAAACCCTATCTGGCACCTAGATTACTGACTGTTAAAGAAATAAGTAAAGCTTTATAACTCCACCAAATTATTTAGTCTATCTAATGATATACCAACCCCTTGGTTTTTATAAGTAAATCATATTCCAACTATAGAGGAATATAGAAAGTGAGTAATCAAGTGTGGAGAAATATTCTATAGGAGACAGGAAGGTAACACCCAAAATCCAAGAATCGTGAGCACCACCCACCAAGTCAACTATGCTAACATCAATAAGGAACTAGGATTCTAGCCATAAAGAAAACAGAAACATGTATAAAATTGCAAATGGATGCAGAAATCGTTAGAACAACCAAATTTTTTATCCCATTCATATACTTGCATGAAATGGTATGGTGGGTGCCCTCCTTCTAATCAGAAATGACATACTCAGTAACTACCCACTGGATAGGATCTATATGATCCATGAAAATGTATTTTCTTTGTCATTCCAGGGAGGCAGACCAGTGCATTTCCAGAACATCTATTTTGACTCCCCTACTATAGCAATGTTCATGCCATCATCTAAAGTAAATCAATCTCATCAAACACTAAGGAGGCATGTTGGATTGGACTCCACATTTTGAACTTCATCACGTATGGAGAGTGGTACTGGCTCTATGAAAATTATGAGCACCAAAAAATATACTACTTAAACCAAACAATGTTGAGAATTTCAAGCGGAATTAATAACAACAATACTAAGAGACCTAATTTATTTCACCCCACCAACTAGAATCAGTATCACACAAATGAGGAGCTAGTTTGGAAGCCTACATTGCCAATGATCTAGTACATTGTCATACATAGTGATTTGGCCACATATTGGCAAATGAGAAATAGGGGCAATGTCTACAGGTTGAGGAAGATGATGTTAAAGGAAAATAACCCTTTATTTCTTACTATCGAAATAAATAAACAAAAATGAAATACAATTAGCATCATTGCAATAGCAAGAAGTGATCTTTCCATTCCTTACATTAAGTAGTTATCAGATATATGCATTTATATTTAATAAGTGAGACAATGAATCTTCTGGTCAATCATTTACAAAAAAAAAAAAAGTATATTCAAGTGGAAGACTTCTAGAGAAACCAAATTAGCCAATAAAACAAAAAATCACAACCTTCCAGGAATAAATCAGCAATTAAAAACTTACTTGCGATAGGTAAATTCATTGCGTTCAATATATTTGTATGCAGGTGGGGACTCCATTTGGTGATCCTAAGAACAAGATAAGGTGATATGTCATAATTAGCACAAAATTAATAAAGCAACACTACTTTGACAATCCTTTCACATAAATGCTTTATGCTTGGAATAAAAATTTAGACAAGTTTAACCACAACCAGCTCATAACTGATCAACAGCAAGTGGAATAAAAACTGATGACAACGACAACAGAAATAAATCTATATCACAACTCATTCAAACTGGGGAACAGAAAACAGTAAAAATACACAATCGCAAAACAATACCAAGCCTATTGATGCAGGAGAATTTGAGGGAACAGTAAAATCAGCAAGAAACAATGCCAAACACAAGCATTATTCAAAGAAACGTAGGGTTTCTTCTCTATACCCCAAGCTAGGGTTCCAAAAGCCTAAGCCCTCTCTCTTTCAATTTCTAAAAATCAAGTGGAATTACCTATCAAGGCCTCACACACCTCTTATATATCATCATTTAATGTTTCAAGTACAAAAAGTGTCCAAACAAATAATACATTGACCCATATGTTCTAACTTAAACTCAAATTGTGTAATGACAGTTTTACCCATATGGACAGTACCCATGAACAGTATTCATATACAATAATTGTGAATAGTACTCATGCAGTAAAAAATATAAAAACTGTAATTGTGAATAGTACTCATGCAGTAAAAAAATAAAAACCTTAGAATCCATAAAAACTAAAATCCTAGAAATAAATCCTAAAACTAAAACTATAACATACATCTTTTAAAATTGAATAAAAATGAAATATAAGAATAATTTTGCTCTCCATCACATTTCAACTTAAAGCGGTCAAATTTAAAAAGAAATTTCATGAATGTATTTCAAACAAACACAATCAACTTACAGTAAATCTGTGTACACAAACCTAGCAAGTGGCAATACTAAAATCAATCAACGTGACAAAAACAATACGTAGTAACCACGACAATTAAACTAAAACAAGAGCTTCCCACTTTAAAGAAACAAAATTCAAAAAGGGAAGAAAAAAAAAACAATTTAAGTACATCTGCTTCAAAATCAGATGCTTCATGGCAAACAATAGATTGACATACCATAATAACAGGAGTTTATCTTTCAACTGCTTTTTTTTTTCAGAATAGTTAACCTGTAATGATATGGGGTTGTATTAGACAATTACAATAAAGGCACTGCCAAGCCTTTACCGGTAGACAAAAGCAAACCAAAAAGGTCATGTGCTCAAGCCAATTATACAGTATACAAAATCTTAGGTGAAACCCCTCATCGTAATATGTGAAGTATTAGAAAACTGGGTACAACCCCACATCACTAAAATTGGGGTAGGCCCCTTAGAAACAATCCAAAAAGTATATGCTGCCATTAGATCTAAGTCAGACTCACACTAGCAGGCACTCTTTTGCAAGAACATTAGCAGCAGTGTTGGCCTGCCACCCTAGGTGCTGGGAACTGACAAGTAGAGGCCTGCAAAGTTCAAAGATATAGTCAACAATGAGTCCCACAAGGACATGGAGCAAGTATAGTAGCCCAAAGGACGTTTCTAGAGTCTCCTTCCACAATCAACAGTGTGCCCAGTGAAAGGTCAAATCTGTTTAGGCTTCGTAGGACAAGCACCTAGGCCATTGTGGAGTCAAGAATGCCTAACTGGCCTGAGAAGGGGAAAAAGGTATGACCATAAGCATCCCTGAACATACCCCAAAAACCTGCAGGCCTGGATTTCCAAGGAAGCAGCCATCAGCATTAAGTTAATCAAACTTGGTTCAGGTGGTCGCCATGGCTCGATCTAGGGATTTCTATTGGCTGGGAAGAAAGGATCGTTGGCCATTTGAGTGTGAAATCTGCCACTGCGAAAGCACTAAATTCTTTGCACCCCTCGACCCAAAAGATGGTCAGTGATTTGTTGCAGTCTTTGACCACTTGTATAGTTTCCTCTTTTCCTTTGAAAGCACGGCAGTTTTACTAGAACCAGATGGTACAAATGGTAGCCATAGTTGAAGCTCTCCACAAAACTACACCAGCTTTGGGGTAGGGAGTATTGAAAAGCTGGAAAGAGTTGCTTAATGGATTACGGTGCACCAACAACCAGTCAAAAGAAAGCAACAACATGGCTCATTGTTGGCTAGCCACTGAGCAGGGTAAGAAAAGATGTATCTTGCTCCCTTATACACATAATGCAGCTGTTCGGAAAGTGGAAGCCTCGCCTTTGGAGTTGGTCCACTGTGAGAGCTTCTGTATGACAGCATTATCCAGTCAACGGCCTGGACGATTGGGGGTATGGGAGAAAGCAATACTTTGTACACGATGGCTATGGAAGGGGACTGGGGTGCAAGAGAGTGGTAGAAGGATAAGGCTGAGAATTTTTCGACACTAAATGGTGCCCATACCAGCACCACCTTATCGACACCTTTCCTCCGTATGAAACTACCCTGCTGTCGGTGTAGTGTGGCCAGCTCTTGTAACTAGGTATCCCACAGCAACCACCTGAACATGGGTTTCACACCGATGGCAACCGCTCCCTTCCCCACCGCCCCGGGGTGGGAAAAAACAAAAAACAGAGCACTTCATGGGACTGAGCCTCTTTGGTATCTGGTAGTGTGGCCAATTGAAAGAGGTTGGGAAAGACCACTTCCAGCTTTGTGATGCCCACACAAGTCTTTCCAGAAGTGCGACCTATTCCCTTGCTTTGGTGTGAAGAAAAGTGAATGTGCCTCATGAAGTATTGGTGAATAGCAAAGAGGCTCTCTCTTTCAAGCTCCAGAGGCTCATGAGTTGGGGATCTTTGGGAAACCAGCTGGAATCACCACATCCATATTTGTGAGCTATGACCAATTGCCACAATTGACCTTGTGGTGTGGCCAAGCACAATCCCCACTTTCCCAATAAGACATTGTTACAGTCCTCTATTTTGTGTATGCCCAATACTCCCTCCAGCACACCATCTCGCAAGATATCAGGTGGACCTTTCAAAGTACACCTGACCCCGACCATAGGACGTTATTCATCCTAGTCTCCAGTCAATTGTTGTTGGCAGCTGGCATTTGGAAAAGGGACATATGATAGATGTGGATTGTGGAATATTTTCCCATATTGCCTTGATGAGGGTGATATACCCCCAAGGATAAGGTACCATCGCTTCCAGCTGGCTAGTCGTCTCTCGAATTTTTCAGCAGTGAAGTTCCAAAGTTGCTTGCATGACTCACCAGGGTGGAAGGGCAGTCTGAAGTATTTTGAAGGTACTAAGTCGATTCTACAACATAATCTCTTGCCCAGCTACTGATGGATTGGAGGTCCGCACAAACCCAGTTGGAGTCTTAAACCAAAGAGAAATCTGCCCATCTCTTAACTGAGTAGGTCAACCATCGTTGGGGTATTAGGTCCACGATTTGAGGCTCCTCCAAACACATCATTTCAAAATGAAAAGGTTTGTGTCAGGAAGGTCACAGAAGGGCATCAAGCAATATGGGTTTGTGGTCCAAAGTCGGCTTTAGGAGCCAATAGGAGTGGTTCCCAGGGAATGCCTCGTCTCATTCAAGTGAAATGAGGAACCTATCAATACTCCATAGAGGTGTTGGAGGCATGATTGGCTTAGGTGAATGCAAGCCATTTAGGGGGCTGTCTAGAAGATTGTTTTTAAAGGTGAAAATGAATAAGGAGGTCATGCAGAGCGTAAGCCATCCATTCTTATTCTTTTCAAAGGATCATCCAATAATTTTGAAATCTACACCTAAAACCCAATAGTAGCAGTGTTTTCAACTGTAGGATGCGGTCCCGATGGGGTAGGAGGGCCGATGCGGTCCAAATGCAGGCGCATTACCCTAATGCGGTCAATAAATATTGAAAATTCCAAAAAATCTCAAAAAAAATAAGTTAATGTGTGGAAATAAGTTAATGGGTGGAAATATGGAGATGATTTATGTAATAGTAGGCATTTAATTTATTCACAAACTCTAATATTAGCAGTTGTTGGAGACATTGATTCCCCTAATAGAAAACATTAGAAACTAGAACTAGAAACTTGAAATTAACTTTATAGAATACATTAAAAAACATTGTATTATCATAATTCATAAACATCCAAAAACCATACTAACTTTTGATAAATCATCATCATCATCAAATAAGTGGATTTCATTCATTATATCCTTTTGTTTCCTTCTCTTCTGTTCTTTTTTTTTTTAAGCTATCCATGTATTCTCTAATCTCACTTTTAATCTCTTATGTAGTTTATGGGCATGCTCTGTCATTCCCAGTAATGCCGGCTAAGTGCTCTTTTGTCAAAAAATACCCCCTATATAAGCATTTCTGCCAAAGAACAAATAATGCAAATTTGATCTCTTGGATTTTGAGTCTTGCATCATTCCAAGCCGGATCCTTGCTATTCAGAGATTGTGATGACATTGCCCCCAAAAACAAAAGTGCTTGGGAAAGAAAACTTGCGATTAATCGAAAAAAAATTTGATATCTTCTCAGCCCTTGAAACCCTCGATTTGTTGATGAGTCTATGCTCAAACATTTTCAAAAAAATGTCCAAGCTAATCCCAATCAATAACCCAAAACTGCCCATGCTCGTGGGCATTATTTTCTCCCACGAGCGTGGGCACACTATGCAGGCGCATGTGCATTGGGATGAGCGACATATGCGAGTGCATCCCTATCAAGCACATGTGATGCCTGAGGCAGTGCGCCTCATGCTGCATATAGTGGCCACAATTTAAAAACAATGAGTAGTACAGAAAGTAAGGAGAGGGATCTCAAATACTAGTTGTAGAGGGGGTGTTTGGGGGACACAAAGGGGGGCAGGATTTCTAAGGTGCACTAAGCAGAAGGAGGAGTGGAGAAAGGCGAAAGGAGGGATTAGAAGAGCTACGGGGATTTGAAGGCAATGTTGAAATATTCACCCCGCCTAAACAGGGGAGGGCCATAGGCATATCGCCTAAAGCTAGGCTGGTACCTACAGCAGGGGGCTCTAGGCGCATGCCTAGGCCAAGGCAATGGCAGGGAGGTCCCTAGAG